CTTTAAATACACAAATCTGGTCTATGTCTAGCATGAACAAAGCTAATCAAAGATATCAAGCGATACTCTTTGGTAAAACAAACCAAGTATCAAAACGATACTTAAAACAAAACATAAAACAAAACCAAGTATCAAACAATACTTAAAACAAACCATGTATCAAAGTAATACTTAAAACAAAAGATAAACAAAACCAAGTATTAAACGATACTTAAAACAAACCAAGTATCAAAGCGATACTTAAAACAAAACATAAAACAAAACCAAGTATCAAACAATACTTAAAACAAACCATGTATCAAAGTAATACTTAAAACAAAAGATAAACAAAACCAAGTATCAAACGATACTTAAAACAAACCAAGTATCAAAGCAATACTTAAAACAAAACATAAAACAAAACCACTAACCGCATACCCGTACCAGTTACACTAGTGCTTGGCCGATATCCAGATACTTTTGAAACCATGCACGAACATTGTCTGGTTGATGTGCATTCTTCCTATCTACATCAATAGTTTGTTGTTTTCTGATGAAATACTGAGGGTGCCAATCTAGGAACCTTGGAGCCCACTGAGCTCCTACAAGAGATGCTGGTCTGGTACCTGTATGTGTATTTTTGAGAATTGCATTTGCACAGCTTGATACTATTTGCAAATGGGCACTAGTTCCAACTTTATCCAAGTGATCAAGATACTGGCAGACAGCTAGTTCTTGATCTTCGGTGAGCTTATAGTTCATCCCAGGTCACTCCTGCCGGGACTGACGGCCTTGAAACCATGCTCAAAGTCTCCTGACATGTATTTCATACTGTCATGCAACTTCAGCACAGTTTGGATCCTGGTTATTACTTGTACCTAGAAAGGTAACAGCAGCTTGAATTCAAATCTCAATATCAGCATATGGTTCAACTCGCTGGCTCGGAAGAATAAAGGCTGGATGTGGAGGCATCATTGATTACTGTTTTGATCAACTCTCTGGGACATGAAAGTATCTCTATTATTTCAACATTACGAATATCTAAATTTATACAGTTGTCTTGAGTTGCAAAGTACTATTGAGTTACAAATTACCATTGAGCTACAAAGTGCTATTGAGTTACAAAGTGCCATTGAGTTACAAAGTGCTATTGAGCTACAAAGTGCTATTGAGTTACAAAGTGCCATTGAGTTACAAAGTGCTGTTGAGCTACAAAGTGCTATTGAGTTACAAAGTGCCATTGAGTTACAAAGTGCTGTTGAGCTACCAAGTGCTATTGAGTTAAAAAGTGCTGTTGAGCCACAAAGTACCGTTGAGCCACAGAGTTACTATGATGAGCCACAAAGTGCCGTTGAGCCGTAAAGTACCGTTGAGCTGCCAGGCACGAGTAGCTGACCCATCCGCCATACCAGCTTTAGGCACATGTTAATACTAGTAGCAGCACACATGGGAACACAGAGACCGTCGATGATTGCAAGACCTGAAAGTGTAGCATATCCTTGCCACCCGGGGGCTATAAAGGGCTATCAGATTTTCTCCCGGGTTGGTGGAGAACCCCAAGCACGAACATCGGATTATTTTCGCTGCGATCGAAATCGGTTTCTTCTATTGTTTTATCGACTCTTACCGAGGGTGGGGGCAGACTCGCATCTGACGAGGGGCCCCTACAGAGACTTGCACTTGCACACCGGAAGGGACCGTGGGTAGGGGTGGAAGAGGGTTGGGGGGGGGGCCATACGGATCAGAGCCATCCCGGCAGGGAACGAAGGCTCAGGGCAGCGGGAGGTGCCGGACAGGGAAAGCCGCTATCTGGAAATGCGATGCTGGGCCGGATTCGAATTGCCTACCGGGGGGTGTAAAATCTTTTGGTAGCCATTTCTAGAGGCAAACAAGTCCATCTCCCGGGAGATAAATTTTTTTGGAGTTTTCTGCTTTTCTTGTCATTGATCCCCTAGAACCCCTCAAATTTGGGGTGGGATGCTCTTTTCTCCAGCTATGCACCGGGTGCTTGGTATCAATCAACTGACTAATGAGGGAATTATATTTGTCTGTTACGATACAAGCCAGCATGAATATTGGGCTTTGCACTCTATTTAGAAGTTAAGAGAGTTATATATAGATAGGACTAGGTTTGGGTCATCTGGTTAGTTATGGTTATACAATAACTGGCATATGATTGTTTTATTATAATATGATTAAATTTTGTTAGCTTAAGTTTGCGGAAAAACGTTACAATTTTTTTTTGAACTCCCTAAGCTAGGCACCCGGGATTCCGACCACCCCCGGATTCCGCCTAGGCGCACAAATCAACGAAGTTTCACACCAACACAGTTGAATCCATACCAGCCCAGCAACCCGATATGGCCAATCCCTGTGAATTTGTGATAGAGCAAGCACTGGAAGCCATTAAGCATGGTATAAGTGAGAGAAAAGCATGCCTGGAGTTTAAGGTTAGCCATGGAACGATTCAAGGTCGTCAGGCTGGAGCCTCTACCTCACATGAAAGTCATACCTTCATGCAGCACTTATCGATAGACCAAGAAGATGCTCTTGTCACATGGATCTCAGAGCAAGAAAACCAGGGCTTTGCACCTTCCCATACCCACATTTGTGAAATGGCAGAAAAGATCATAGAGTCTGGTGGGAGGAGTGTCACAATCGGAACAAGTTGGGCACCATGGTTTTTGTCATGACATCCAAACATCACTACACTTTTAGGAAAGCTAATTAATTCAAAGAGTATTAGCGGAACACCCAATCAGAACTCATGAGGCAGTTCTTCAATCAATTTGATACTATACGCACCCAATATGGAATTCAGCAAGAGGATATCTGAAATGTTGATGAGCATGGGATTGCACTAGGTATATGTGTCAATACACGTGTAATTGGCAAGGCTGGAAAGAAGCGTACATACATGCAATCACCAGAAGGTCATGAATAGGTATCGATTATCAAAACAATCAGTGCTACCAGCAAGCACATTTGTCCAGTTGTGATTTTCAAGGGCCAAAATATTCAAACATCATAGTTTGAAGAGGACAATCTACTAAACTGATTAATTGCAACATCAGGCAAGGGATGGACAACAAATGAAATTGCGATGAGATGGCTCCATGAGGTCTTCCTACCAGAAACAATTCCGAGTACTGCCAATCAGGGGGGTATACCCTATTGATGAATGTTGATTCTAGATGGGCATGGGAGTCATGTTCAATTAGACTTTTTTTGGGAATGCTGACCAGCCAATGTGGAGCTTTTATTTCTTCCTACGCACTCCAGCCATATCCTTCAGCCTCTATATCTTGGTACTTTTGCTCCTCTCAAGTCATATTATCACAAGTGTATTATGGAACTTACACAATATGATGATACTGCACTGGTGAAAAAGAGACTCTTTGTAAAATGCTATCAACAGGCATGGGACAAAATCTTTAATCCTCGTTACCTACTTGTTGGCTGGAAAGTAGTAGGACTTTTTCCCTGGAATTCGGAGAAGGCTCTAAACTTGTCACAAGTCTATTCCAACTAACCAACCTCAAACCCGAACTCAGATCCCAAACCCCCTCAAACTCCCAAGCGATTATGTACAGTTCATAGCACTCCTCTGCCACCCCATAATCCATTTCATACCCCCACTCACCCTCACGATCTTCACCACTCAATCAAATCCCTAGAAGCAGTTGGAGATATGACCCATGATCTCCTCACTGTCTTGAACAAGACAAGTAAGGCCTTCAGCCACCTCACAACCCAACACGCATTTATTCAAGCCTCGAATCAACAATTACAACGATTGAAAGAGTTGGAAGATAAGCGCAAGAAAAAGAAGGTTCTAGTGGATCCTAATCTTTAATTTGTAAATATTGAAAGTATCAAACAGGCTATAGAGGAGGCAGAAGTGCAGGAAGCCCAGATTCAGGCTAGAAAGCCAGGCGAAGAGGCAAGACAAACCTCTGCCGCGCTTATAGCAGCTGATATGCAGCAGTTTATGTCAGAATGGCAGGTTTAATGGTTCAGAGTCATTTAATCTAATTTCACTTACTTGTTGTTGTGGAAAGATTGGGTTCATGGGATTGATTCCATGTTCGTTGGGTGGCTGGCATCTGGGGGTGGCCAGCATCTAGGGTGCCTAGCTTAATATATTTTCTGTTTTAGTTATCAACTACTAGTAGGTTCAGGTACTCCCATGCAGTAATCAAGGTATCATACCCAGATTTAGAATGAGCGCATGCGCACAACTAAACCCGATCACGGCAGGTACGATATGATACCATGCTCTAGCCACTTTATCCAAGGCGCTGCCAGTGGTGGTATCATACCGCACAGCACCACCCCCATAGCCTCTAAACCCCACCACACGGGTAGTCCTCAACAGCTAACAGTGGTCCAGGGACATCGGTTCGCAGAATCACCACCAATGCAAAATCCATGTTCCACACACAACACCTCCCCCTTCCTCACTCGTTCGCTTGCCCTCATTAGTGCCTAGCAATGGAAAAAACCCACCACGTCACTACTCGAAATCACCGCTCTCCACATCCAATGTCGTTTCCCACACAACCCAACACAAGATAGAAACCTCCATACCCGGTGCAGTGTTGGTGGGTATTCCCAAGTCACCCCGCGCGAGGTCGGAGTGACTGCCCGGGTGCTTGGCGTACAAGATAAACAACTGGAGCTGTGATATTCTAGATTCCTGCCTTGTTGATCATTTCCAGCTAGTAGACTAGGAATACTGTTGGTGGGTGTTGTCTCGTCTCGTGACTGACGGTGCTAGTACGGGGAAGGGGAGATTGTGTGTATTACAGGCATATAATATGGTAACCCTGATTGATCTTAGTGCTTAATTTACTTCTGCCCTGGATCTTCAAGGCATCGTGCTTTTGCTGCGAGATGTCTTCGCGGGGAGTTGGTCATTAATGGACGGAATTTGGAATTCCTGGGCATTACCAAGCAGGCTCCAATGTGTCTAGTATGATATATACCGGTATGTGCACTTGATTGTGGCCGATAGCATACTATATAAAAAACTTCCATTTACTATAAGAGACCAAACAAGCGGGAAAAAAAGAGAAAAAATACAAAACACACCCGGGCTATTTCCCAAACGCCACGCAATCCCCCCCAAATAAAAAGAAATATACAAAAGGTAAGTAAAACTTCAATATAATGAATAGTGAATGAGCTAATGGACACCTTGCTCAGGCCGCGGGCGCAAGCTGCAGTCTTAGACCCCCGGTGCAAAGCCAAAAAACCTTCATGGAACCTCAGTTTCTACACCTGGCCTTCTTGGCTCCATCACGAATTTGCCCTTGAGATCTTTTCCTTTCCCCACCACGCCCCTCCCAACCCACGCCAAAGTCCGCGCTCCCTTCCATTGCATGGCACCCCTTTCCCGTCTATGCAACTCTCCGACCGATTCCTTCTTACGACTTAACCTTCGTTTGATGCCTTCTATCGGGCTCCTCCCCCCACCCACTTCTTCACTGCTGTCTGTGTCCTCTCCACTACTATTGCCAGAGCTACAGCTGCTTGCCGATGATGCGTCGTCGCGATGGTGATGGCGGTCGATGCATTTTAGTGCACGACATATGTCGTCCATTCCATCGAGCTTTCGATGCGTTGGAGTTAGGCCTCTTCGGAACCGGACCGTCAACACCACGCTTCCGACACATCTCCCAACACCCAGCGCGTCCCCACAATTCTGGACGAAGCGGTCAATGTCCTCCGGCTGGTAAACGTCTAACCGAACGGTAGCCTCCTCGTCGTCCGGAATATCCTTCAACCAAAGCAAAGCTACCGCAAGGCATTTATCACGCCGGACAACAGAATCTCTTCTAAAGTAAAGTATGCACGGCACGGCATATCGATGTCGAACAGATAAACGAAAACGTTTACCCTCCAAGGACCACCCAGGAGTGGCAGAAACCGTAACATCTTGGCGCGCGTTTCTCTTACTGAGCGGTGTTCGAAACGTGAGATGGCCGGCGCCCGCAACTTGTCCGTCAGCGATATCTTGCGCGGAAATGAACCGTGATACAACCTCCACCGACCCGATGTCCGCTCCCAACATCTGTTTCGGCAACGGGGTGTCGATCGAGCGGAAGAGCAATGATATCCTAATCTTCCCATAGCCCACGCCTCCCTGGATAGGATAATATCTCGAAATAACGCTCGAATTCTGAAACACCTTATCCAACTTCAATTCCACTGCTCCCAATATAGGATCGCTTTCCCTATTCCTCGAATCTTCAACAACAACCAGCACAGTGCTTTCCCTATAGTTCCTGACAAATCTTTCCGTACCAGCGTTAAAAAACGGCTTGCTAGTCATTGGCTTTACGCGAGTCTTGTAAATTTTCTGGTAATCAAGAATGATTGAACAGTATGCCGACGGAAGACTAGAGGATTCCTCCTCCTCAACCGCCTGGGTCTGCTCCTTTTGAAGATGTGGGTTGGAACGAGACTTTGTGCTGCTAACCGTGTGGGTTTCGAGGGCGACAATATTATGAATCTGAACAGAAAGAATGCCTGAAGGGAGAAACGGCGCTGGAGGAACATAGGTAGCACGAAGATCCCCAGTCACAGGTTTACCGTCGGGGGGCGACTTGAAGTCGGGATGGTTCTTTACCCCCATTAATCAACCATCAACCGACCAGGCAGATTTGGGGCAACTCACCTTCATATCATCCGGCAACCTCTCATCAGCGCCATCAGTGCCGGCGCTCTCATTCAACTCGGCTTTTCCATGAAATACCACCGACCAGTTTAAATGGCCGGGCACTATTTGTCCTCTCTCATACCCCCGCAAACTATCCCGTCTCTTGTAAACCTTTCCCCGATTCCGGACCAAATCCGTGACATCAACATCCGTTTTACCAACAATATCATCCGCCGTAAACCTATCTGAATCCCACAGCTCCACACTCAACATCTCACTCGCCTTCACCTCATCAGCATTAACCAGCAACACAGCAGTCTCGTCCCATACAGGACTCAAATCACCAAAGATTATCCTGGTAGACCAAAGAGGCTTTGCAAATTTCGAGTAGCGCAATGTTACGTAGCAGTCGCTTTTGCCGTTCAGATCAGCTGCCTTTACAGCTTCCGCCGAGTGTATATGCACGACGAGAACCCCGATAGCATTGGTGTCCTTCTTGATATCATCCCCGGTAAGAACTTTGGAAACATCAAAGGTGTAGTTCGACGGCGCAACGTATGATCTAGCGGCGGTACGGATGGAGGAATTCACAAAGTCGCTGATAAGCGGAAGGTTCATGACATTGAGAAATCGTTGATTCAGCGGGACGGCGGCTATCTCGATCTTTGGCATCCCGAGAAGGGTAAAGGTTGCGAGTTTGATGAAGGGAGGGTCAGGGATGGTTTGCAGTTTCAGACGACCTGGAGAGCGTGAGCGAAAAAGCAATAACGATTAAATTTAAGATTTGGGATCAAGGCGAGTCTCACATGTCCCGGTGCAACCACGAAGCTCAACCCACACGGCTGATGGATTTTGTTAGCCGAATTCGTGAAGGTAAGAAGGATATGAAGAGAGAGAAAAAGGAACTCACGAATCGGTGTTCCCAAAACCCCCTGCACTCCTAAGGTAAGGTGGATCAATAAACTTGCATTTTTGGCCTTGCTTGCCGCGTCGCTGGTGCTGGGACTTGCTCTGTAGGCAAAAGCAAGTTCCAAAGAGACCCATTCACCGACCTCTTCCTGCTCGTTCAATCTCACATTTGCATCCTTTTCGCCGCCCTCATTGAGCCACCTCATAGATAGAATTCGAATCGGAGTGGCCCCTTGGCCAACGCTCGTGATCTTCACCTGGTTCACCACGGGAGGCATTGACGCTTGCATAACATCCTCAATCAGGTCGACTACGGTAGAGAAGAGGTCCGCATTGATTTGAGGCCACAATTTTGAGACAACACCATTGAGCCATTCCACCGATTCGTTGCCCTCCGGGCCAGGAGTGTTCATCCTCTAGTGAATTCAGTCAGTGGGAACCTGCATTTAAAGCAATACAACAAACCTGATTTCCGCGATCAGATTGTTCATAGAACACCACGTCTGCCCATAGACCCTCTACACGCCGCCACCACGATACAGCACCCCCGACAGCAATGAAGATGGATATTGAATATGGCAAGCGAAGCACGCCATTAAGAAGGACAAATGTCGATGCTATGAAGGCCATATACTTTAGCGTGAAGCTCCGGAACTGCAAAAGTCAGCAAAAGGGGCAGTGAAAAGATGAGGGAATGGTGGGTACCACCTCTTCCATAAATTGAGACCATAATGTCGGCGGGTAGGCATCCGGCGATGTTCGTGGAACTGCGAGCGGAGGAGCGTATTTAGCATCACAGATCTTGATGCTACCAAACAGATTAGCCAACCGCACAGAAGGTGAACACCAAGGAAACGGACAAACTCACTCTCTCCCCGTAACCGGATCGGAAACCAGGACAGAATGCTCTTCTATCCTCCTCCTCCTCCTCTCCTCCTCCAGCTGATTATCCGGACTGGCCCGTCGATGTGGATAAATCTCCCACAAAGAGTCGATCCTCGGGACCGGATTTCTCCCGGAGTAGAAGGGTGAATCGGCCTTGGGCTGGTCAACATTCCTCCTCTCGAAGCTGGTGGTGGAACGGCGGGGGAGGGAGTCGAGGCCCCCAGAAGAGGACCTGCTGGTCGGGAGGGAAGGACTGCTGGCTGGTCTGGAAGAAGTGCAGCTCATCGTTGCCCGGGGACACCTAGGTGGTAGGTCGGTAAAGGAGGTGAATACGAGGTGAATTAGGGTGCCGCAGGGTAGTATTATAGAGATGGAGCTAAAGTTTGCTTCCCGTCAGCTCAAGCTTCCGATTGATTGAGCACGACAAAGGGGTACCATGTCAGTCACTGTGGGGTATCGGCAGGAAGAGGGTGGGAGAGATAAAAGCCTGGCCAATTCCCCCTTTGTAGACACATAAGTTACCAGACTGGGGAGTACGGTACACACTGAGCGGGCAGAAAAGGGAAGGGGGAAAGAGTTGCATACATACATACCGGTAACTTGATGGTAGAGACATTAATTTACTCGAGTACTCGTACTGTAACTGCTTACAGGGGCTCAAGCCAATTTCTACTCGAGCCAGCTGCTACAGTACGAGTAGCGTCATCTCCGCCCACCTTTTTCAAAATGGTTGCTGCCGTCCTTCCGAGAGGCCCAACTCGCATCACGAAGCAGGAAGTGAGAAGAGTCAAGTTACGCGTTCAAGTCTTGGTAGGATGTGCATTCACGCTCTGCCACAAGAATGCTCCGACCAGAAAAACCCCCTCCGAGCGCCACTAAGCAAACCATGATACAGCACCGCAAGTACCGTGCAGTGCCCCCCATTGTATGTCTTCGTCCCCTTCCACTTCTGAACGAGCAGCCCCTTCTAAAACTCCAGCTGAAAAAGAAAGGAAAAAGATGGAATGAACAAGTCGGGCACTCCTGACACAATTCAAGTTCACCGCCAAGGATGACGTCGTAAAATACGGTACCGCCGGTAGCAACAGTCAAGTGAAACCCTAACCTTAACGCACAAGCAATGGAAAGTGTCTTCTCCCGGATCATCCGTTCTGCCGTTGTCTCAGAACCTGGGGGCGTGCGGCTCCTTTGGTCTTTCCCACCATTTTCTTCTCCAAAGCCCCCTAGATTGATATTGATAGGCCAGCGAGAAGTGCCGATTACTCGTAAATTTACCCGGATCACTGCTTGGTTGGGCTGCACTGCTTCGACAAACCGCGCGCAACCCTTGCTCGAGTACTGTACCAGTACTGTACCGGTATACAAGACACGGAATATCACCCACATTTTGACATAATTTTGACAATTTTGAAATACCGCATACCGGTATCACTGCCACGCCCCAATGACGAATACCGGTATGGTACTGTACAGTACTGTACCCGTTTCTGGTAGAAAACTCGCAATCCCCAAAGGCGACAGAAAAACTCTCACCGTAAGCTAAAGTTAGCAGTGGGAAGGATGTTATCCCTCGCTAAATTCACTAGAGCGGCAGCGAGACACCAAACTTGGCCATTCGGAAAGTCTCCGGACGCTTTGCATCTATTAATATCCGTCTTGGCGCAAAGTGTACGGAGACTTTTTAAATTGCCAAGTATGTTACCCATTTTATTGCTTGTTACTCGTACATAGTACCTACACCTGTCAGCTTATTATTCCAACGGAAACCCGAACCCCACGTCCACCAGCAAGCACCCGTATCAAGATTCACCCAACCTCACTGTCAAGCATACGGCAGTGGGACGGCAGTGGGAAAGACCAAAACCAACCACTTCCAACGCCATCTGGCCTAAGCTTTCCATTCCTGGGTTTCACACTCTTCTGCATGTGGAGTACTGTACTCGTACAAGTATAAAGGTCGGAGACTTTAGTGCGGGCTTTTAACTATAAATGGGGGAGAGTCCATAAAACTTGACTACTCGCATGACCTAGCCAATAGTTATTTGAAGGGGACCGGTCACTACCGGCATATAGGGTGGTTCTTGGCTTATTGATCCTACTTCTTATTCTTTGCGCCAATGGGATGTGTGGCTTCTCATACCCAGAGGCTACAGAGCACTCACTGCCAGGTCCTGCGATCCTAGAGCTCCAACTCCGAGTGACAGCACATAGCAGAGCTATACAAACCCCGGACCCGACCACTATATTGCATACCAGTAGTACGGTGTTCGCGGGATACTCGTGTTCCCTCCTCCTATCTCCGGGGGCAATCCCAGCGCTTCTGTCAAACTCATTTCCAATCAACCGACCATGATTTACCGCGGGTCTCTTCGGATGAGCGCCCTCCGACAGCCCTAACCCTGATACCATAATACCCCCAGAAATCTACTCGAGTAGAGCGTGGCATACCGCAGGTGGGCCATCGGCACACTGTCAATCCCGATTTGTATGCAAGCAGCATGGCCAAGGAATCTACGATACCTACACTCACTGCTAACCCTACGCCGAATGGTTATGATACCGCTATGCTCTGCTTCCACTAGGCTGTGGTATATTTCGGGCAACGTGTGCAATGTGGTATTCCTGTATCCTGCGGCAGCATTGGTGATCCACGACCGGGAATAGACAATACAGCATTGGTGTATTGGGAAGTGATAAGTTTTTGGGCAGAACTGTACTGTACCGTGCTTTCGAGAGGCTTACCGTTTAGTGCTTGGCATAAGCCTGCACAAGACAAGCAGGACCTTGTGCTCGAGCCGTTTCGACTCGTATGATTAACAGGTCCAAACAGCTGATGGCTCCATGATGAGACTCGATCCGGCCCACGCCTTCAAGATATCATCCACTATGACCGCATCTGGCATGGAGTTTTATTGTTTATCCGCCTTACTAAGGTGGGCGCCTTTATATTATATTCTCCAGAGTCCTGTAGTAGCGTTCTGCTTGTTCCTTATATCTCCCAAACCCCTACCCTTGCGTTGTGTATTACTATCTGTTTTGGAAAGAAATACTCCCCTACAAACGCTCCCCCCATTATCCAAGTGTATTAACCTTAATTCATAAGAGTGTGGCAGCTGTCCTAGCCTCTACCGGTGCTCGCCATGATACAAGTACCTATGTTTCCCGGTGCGATTACCCCTTAAATTTGTACCATACAGTATATCCCCCAGGTCTCGGGAGGCTGGAGCCAGGCTCGGAAGAATTCTCAATATCATACAGTCGGGAAAGTTGAGATCCGGTAAGTTGGGATTGTGTGGTCATGCCAAACACTGACCGTGCCTAGACAGTCTTAGTTTGGTTGCTGCGTTGGTCCAATTTAGCTCAATTTAGCCCAATGCTTGCTCGGCACTTTCAATCGCGTTTTAGCAGCGTGTTGGTGTTGCATATGTGAATTTGCTCTTCATCTAACGTCAAGTTATCCACTCCCGCCCGATTCACTCTAATCGTTGCGTTCGGTCCAGCAACAGGCTATGACAATTTGCGAGTGTTAGACCCCGTCCGACTTTCGTTCTCACGGCTCATCTGTCGAATGAGGTAACTCCGATTTGCGCCCCGCTGAAAGGAAGATATATGTGTGGATACTAAGGATACCTCCTGGACTGTGGGTGCGCCAATACACGGTGAAGGGAATTACTTGCTGCAGCAGTGTGTGGTTTAAGGGATAAATATCCACAGCGCTAAGAAATCTTCCAGAATACAAGTATCTTAGCAGCCTAGGCTACGTCAGGCGTCTGAATATCCTGGATTCTAGTTATGATACATCCATTCTACGTATGGTATCGTATTACCGGGGATGGCGGTTCTGCCCGAGTGGATGATCTAGGGATGAAAGCCAGTCATTCATTCCTTGTTTGCTATCCTCGATTGTCACTAAAGGTATCAGTAGCTTACGTGAGTCGTTGGATTTACCCCTAGCTACAGGCGGATCCTGATGTCGTCACGAGTTTTTGTTTGGCTTCACTCCCCCGAGACTGGCACTTTTGTGTAGCATGGCAAAATTCCGGGCCTCTTTTTTCCTCTCCGGAACTCAACTGAAAATCTCGCCAAAGGTCCCACCGGATGATTGTGTCCACCAAAGGATCGAAAGACGAATTCAAGGTTACTCGCCAACTCTATGCTTACAAAGGAGTCTGCCGTCCTGGGATGAATCTATTGTGGCAATGGGGTTAATGGGAGTTTGAAAAACTTTTCCCCTTGGAGTAGCAATTATTGGGCACAGTTCTGGTATTGGCGTCTGGTTAGCTATCATACAGCGCTTGAGTACAGTACAGTACGATATATCGCTCCAGACCTCGACAGCAGGCATTTAGTGATCAAGGTCATCGGCTGGTTCTCGACCTGGAAGCCAATGTTTGCTCAAGGAGAGCCAACAAATCGCCCGATACTTGTCCTAGGCTAAGAGTTTGGCCATAGAGGGTATAGTTTGCATTGGCGCTCCGATACGCACAGATTTTTGGGCACTTCTGGCCCGGGACAAGCAGTGAACTATTGGAAAATAGGTCGTTTCAGTGAATAGCTCTCTCGGCATTGGTTCCATGGTACTCCGTTGGTGCCAGGATTAACTGCAGTACCGTAAAAACCTTTACGGCACGATGTAGTCCACTACAGTAGCCCCCGAGCTCTGCAATCTCCAGGTTCTGGGATAGAGGCTCTGAGAGGGATTAGCGCTTTCCCGATATGGTAATGTAATAGGTCTCGTTAACCGGTGTTTACAATTCTCTTAACTCATCAAATAAAATTGTTGTGGGAGGACGGACTGATTTCCGCTGATAAACTGATAGTGGGTTATAAGGGGTTTTACGGTAGGAACCTGATACAAGCACATAAGCCTGACCAAATATCTCCTCCAGGCCAAGGATCCTGGAACAGTCCACCCGCTATTCACGTGTTTTGTCATATCCGAGAGTACCTTCTCATTTCTACTAAGTTTTCACCATATCTTCAATTGCAGTTTAATGAATTTCACCAATTTCAGAGTTTATCTATCCCCCACCGCAGGATTGTCGTGCATTTGAATCAGCGCTACCGGTATCCAAGTCGAAAGGACTTGGGGTCGTGAAACATCTCCCGGTCGTATCAAAACCTAAAACAAAAGCATCCTGATCTTGTCCCCCAATCCTACGACCTCTAGAGATAACCACATAATCCTTCTCCAAAACGAAAAACCGGGTGTCATAGAAAATGGAAACTCAACTAGTACACACTAACAAAATACAAAATACTAAAACCAGAGCCCCAATTTCTACTGGCTTGGTTGGAGGATAGCCGGGAACTCTGATCTTGTTTTAGGGATCAAGAAACCTTAATTGCTAACTGTAGAAGATGTTGTGTTAGCTGGGGATAGTGCAGTACTCGGTTGATTTTTTCACTCCCGAGCTGACAGAAAATATGATAAGTTCTGTTTCTCGATTGGTTTCTGGCACCGCATTTTTAGCGGTGGTAGAAAATGCGCGAGTGGTGGTTTGGTGGTTTGGGGGCAAATCGTGGGATCACCGCAGGGGAAGCGCATCCCTATTCTCATGGCGAAGCTAACTTAATATTAAATTTAGGATGGAGTCAGCTGCCCTGGTTCGACAACTTCTATTTCCGGTTTCGTCTGTCCGGGGGTACCTGGCCTTAACACACTTGCGAAAGCAATGGAAAAGCTCTACTTCGGTTCTGCAACCGATAATCCAGAGCTCACTGATGCCCAATACTGTACTCTCTTGAGCAACACCAAAGAATTCGGACAAATCACTCCTGGGAATAGTATGAAGTGGGATGCTACAGAGGGCACAAGGAACACTTTCACTTTCGCTAAGGATGAAGCAATCTTAGCACTCGCCGAAAGGAACGGTCAAAAGGTCCGAGGACATACATTAGTCTGGCACTCCCAACTTCCTAGTTGGGCACATCCTCTTCCATCCCTCTCTCCGCCAGATAAACGAAGGCTGACGGACAACAGTCAGCAACGGTGGCTTTGACAATGCAACCCTAATCTCCATAATGGAAAACCACATCACAGAGGTAGTGAAAAAGTGGAAAGGCCGAATCCTTCACTGGGATGTGCTGAACGAAATCTTCAACGAGGATGGCACTTGGAGGTCATCCGTTTTCTACAATACCATCGGTGAAGCCTTCCCGGGGATCGCCTTCCGCGCTGCCCGGGCTGCGGATCCGTCCGCGAAGCTATACATCAACGACTACAATATCGACGGCACCGGAGCAAAGTCCACGGCGATGTACAACCTGGTCAAGAAGCTTCTCGCTGAGGGCGTACCCGTGGACGGGATCGGCGTGCAGGCTCACTTGATCGTCGGCAACGTGCCGAGCACGATGCAGAACAACTGGGCGCGGTTCGCCTCGTTGGGTGTAGATATTGCCATCACTGAGTTGGGTATTCGCATGACGTTTCCGGCGGACGCGGCGGGGTTGTCGCAGCAGGCTGATGATTATAAGAATGTTGCTACGGCATGCATTAATGTGCCTAGGTGCATCGGTATTAGTAGGTTTCACCCATATGTTAATCCCCTATTAGCTTCGGTGTTTTGTCTAATGATTGCGTAGCTGTCTAGGATTATACCGACGTGAGTCTTCTACTACCGGTATACCTATTTACTCGTCGACGTTGCACTAATGAATTCTTAGAAATACTCGTGGATTCCCGCGATCTTTCCCGGTCAGGGCGCTGCGCTTCCTTGGGACGAGGACATGGTTGTGAAGCCGGCATATGCGGCTATCGCTGGGGCGCTTACCTAAGTTGGTTGCTAGAGCTTTGACTATTTGGGAATAGAATTGTAAGGATTGGTGTGATATTAAAAGAATTTTAATCTTTGATGGACTTGGAGTGATATTTTGTAGTGGGGTTCCGAAGTGGTGTCCTAACCTAGGCCTCTCATTGAAGGCGTTTTTGTAAGGGTCTTTTTTTGTCCACTTGGGTTAGTACGATAACCGCTTTCCGTAGAGACTGAGAATCCTGTACCTGTGATCTAGGCCGATGGATACCGTAGTCGTACAAGTGTCAGGGAAGACGTTTTCGAACAAAATAGGGATTAATTTGTAGGTTAACCTGAATTGACTCTTCACTGACTTTATCGCTAACGCTTGTACATATAAAACTTCCATACAGCGGCCCAGTGTTATGGGTGTTCTGCATATAACTTACCGTGGGTGTAAGAAGGGCTGTGAATGGCACGGCTCTTAGGCCAGATTCAACCGATCTACTCGTACTTGTACAAGTAGCGTATGATACTGTACCGACAGAGAGACATGGTCACATGGAGTGAGTGATATCACATGATTCCTTCCCGTTCTTTCAAAATAAGACTTCCAGAGACACAATTTGTAAAAGCACGCGGCCACCGTACCGGTATTGTCTCCTGCAATGCCCCCTTAGCAGCATATAGCGCTGATGGTTTTTATTTTTATTTTTACTACCTGTGTTTTGACATTCTCGGATCGGTCTGGGGGAAAACGGACAGGGTATATCATACTCTGGTAATATCAAGCTCAAATTGCTTCATCATAGATAGCATCCTGTGAAGGGGCACCGTGACATTGAGTCATTTCCATCCGACTCTCACCCTCCCTCGTGTACCTTCGGCGTTTGTATTTTACTTAGCATGATACTTATTCATTACCTCAGCATTTTCACTTCTCCTTGTCTACCAACTTATGAGGTAGTTGTATCGCTTACGCCCCACTGGCGCGCTCTCCTCGGGGTGGCGGAAGTAGATCGGGAATGGTAGTTGTTTACCTTTCACTTCGTTAAGAACATGTATCTGGGTGGGCCCGGTGTGGCAAGAGTTGAAATTATGTCGTCTGAGAGGTGAGATCTCGTGCGATGGCTACCACATTCTTTGCGGGCACAAGGTCATCATATACTAATAGTGTTCTGTACAGTACTGTTGCGTCCCTTTCTTCTCAATTCCTGGGACCGGGAGGGGAGTCGAGGGGGGGGGTGCTATTAGACATTCTAAAGGAAGATTATTCGTCAGGGGGGGTCTATGTCCGCGGCATACTTAAAGAGACTTGGGCGTGTGTATGTAGTATGTACCAGTAGGAGCTTTACTTCTGTTACTTCGCCAACTAAACTGCTAGTTAACCTTCACAACGCTTAAGCACCCGCCGCGCGGTAATCCAGCGAATGAGGGACCGAGGAACAGTCACTAAATTGCGTCAGGCCTACGCGAGAGAGGGACAAATCCGCACCGGGGAACAAATTTTATAGGTGTTGACTACTGCGCTAGCGCTAAAATTTCCCGATGCTGGGGGGGATAGACAACCCACGCGGAAAGATGGATTCTGAGGGATGGAGCATTCCGCATGGGCCTCAGGACGTCCCACCCGTGCATCTCCTGACCAAGTGCTAAGATATCTCCCGTTTCCCACGGCCGGCGCACCCTCGCCCGGGAATTGCGCTGGGATCCTCGAGTCGCTGGCGGAAGCGATTTCTAGTGGTAAGGGTTATCAATCCCTCTGGAGTCGGTATCACGCACACTACCCTTTCCTATAGTCGCGCAACGCCGAGAAAAGAGAGCACCTCTCTCTTTCCTCGAGTCTTGAGTGCGAAACCTGTGGCACGAACCCGAACAATAAATTTTTGGGTAAGCTTTGCGGGAGCTTGAGTGCTTCTGCCAATGTGCTCTTTTGCTGGTGGTAGCTGTTCTTCCACTTCTTTTTTGAGATAATATGAGTGTGTATTTATTAAAACCAGCATATGGGCACTCAACCCCCCAAAATTTATTTTGGTATTATCACCTAGATAGACCTTTAGAGCATACTCCCAATAGCTCAGAAAATATTCTAGAAGCTCCAACGACCTCTGTAGCATGTTTTATGTAGAAAAATATGAAATATCTCAAAAATGATTTTTTTCTATAGAAAAAAACTACAGCTCTCTGGCTACATGTAGAACCTTTTTTTAAATCAAATGAGCACTTAGTTCATGTGTTATTTGTTATTAAAGTCAAGATACTTTTTCTGTAAAAATGTGTTGCGTGAAGTACTTCTTAAATCCTGATGATGAATAAGCAATATGTGAAAGTACAAACCTATTCCAAATCCCTAATTTCTGAATTATAATTGCTATAGAATAAGGCTAGCTTTGGGATCCTCTTCCATCTCTATTACTATTACAATATTATTTTACTGTTCTCAATTTGTTTCAATTAATACTTTCAATTCCCCCATAAATCTCTCTTATCAACTTTAAATTTGTTACAATATTGAGCTCAGATAATAGCGATTGGAATAATGAAAGTGATAGTAAGTTTCCCAAAGTTAGAGATAAAGAATATTGTATTATAGACTCAGAATGTACTAAGAGTAAACAAGGTGCTTCAGAGTCTAGTTACTTAAGTGATGCATACTCTAATAAGATGAGTGCTGATAAGTTGAGTGAGGTAAAGGTATGTACATCAAGTTTGGAATAAGAGATACAGATAGTCTAATAGTAGTAACTAGGATGATAATTATGAATATCATCTATAAAAGTTAAGTAGAGTCTGTCATTGTCCACTGAAATGTAGTGAAAAGGCATCAGTAGGTCAATTGCGTAGCTGGATAAAGTCTAACTATGCCATGCCACTCAAGTAAAGAAAACTGCTTGCCAGTTACTTGATTCT